CTGTCTGCCAAACCCTTTACAGTCCTTAGCTTTTGAACGATTTTCCGTTTATTCCTCTGCACCTCAATCTTCTCCTTAATCTTTTCGGCCTCTATTTTATCACTCATTTTCTCGGTCTTCACGAATATCTCCTTCGTTTCCATCTTATCGCCCGTTTTGTCGTCACCTGAGGTCACGTCTAATGGTTTTAATCCTAATTTGATCCGCAATTTACTGCAAAACAAACAAACAATTCATTTAATAACCGATTAATACATTAATATCGCATTCAATGCATACTTAGTCTCTTCAACGGAAAGCGACTCAGTATTTGATCCCTCAGTCTGTTGTGAATCTATGGATTGAATGCAAAACACGGTTAACGCAAAGAGTGACACAAATGAGAGCTCAAGACAAACCTTCTTTAGTCTGATGTCCATCCCTTCTATTGGTTCTGTCGCTCACATCAGAACTCTTTTGATCTAATTTTACGGTTTTATTAACTGAAGAATTACTACTTTTCGAGATCAACACATCCTTTACTTCCTTTACCTTTAATTTTTTCAAATCATTTCTGTCGTCGTCGGAGGTGTTGTCACCTCTTTGTCTCTTTCGGGAACCGCTGGACGACTCTTTGTCTTTGTGTCTGTGACTCGACCGATGGTTTCGATCGCTTTTGTCCGACTTCTCGTACTTGTCTTTGGACTTAGACCGCGATCGAGACCTCTCGCGCTCTTTGTCTCTGTGTTTGCGCGAAGAACCCATCGGTGGTCGCAATCAATGCACGAAATATTCACTCAATTTCTGATCAAACGATGAATTTGTGTTGAGTTTCAAAAGCATTTGTCACACAAACCACTATTCGTTGCATCCGTTCATAACATGCGTTACCTTTTAGTGTGAGTTCACTGCCCATTCAAACATATAATACAGTAAACCGTTAAATGTATACAAAATTGTTAAGATTTCCTTACTTTCATTGACACCACTCTCCTCTGCATATTACGCTATGTGTGGATTAGATGCCCAATCAGTTGACATTAGATGGCATTAGTATCGCATTAAATGCCAAAAACACATGACTTTTAAATGAAAAAATATTTGGATTTTGTTTTTGATTTGTTTTGCATTTAATCATAGATTTGGTGGCAATTAGTTTGCACTGAAAACACTTGAATTAAGCGATCATTTGTGACAAAATGCTGACAAAACTAATGAGACATAAATTGCATTCAAGGCAAGCGTTTGCGACGATCGGCGCCAATGCGTGTGACCGGCGAAGACATTCCTCTGGGTCTGGACACTCATTGCACTCGTATTTGGTGCCCATAGTGGTGGAGCAGACGGGAAGGGGTGAGCGATCGTATGACATCTACTCGCGACTGCTGAAGGAGCGCATCATATGTCTGATGGGAGGCATCAACGACGAGATGTCATCCCTAGTTGTGGCACAACTGCTGTTCCTGCAGTCGGAGTCGGCCAAGAAGCCCATCCACCTGTACATCAACAGCCCGGGAGGGGTCGTGACGTCAGGGCTGGCCATCTACGACACGATGCAATACATACTGCCGCCGATCGCCACGTGGTGTGTGGGTCAGGCCTGCTCTATGGCCAGCCTATTGCTGTGCGCGGGTGAGCCCGGGATGAGACACTCTCTGCCCAACTCGCGGATTATGATTCATCAGCCGTCGGG